TTTATCCATCTTCTTTTGGGCCCTGTTTTACTAATATAAATACTTTGGGGGAAATTTAAACCTCTTTAACCTTTATCTGTCTGGGTATCTTTATCGAATAATTAGACTGCTTTCCATAGAACTGAAGCTGAGAGCAGTTGCCTAAGGTGAAATGCAAGGTTTTCCCCAAGAATCTTAAGTGGGAAGTACACCCCATGGAATATGCTGCATTTGAAGAGAGGGTAGAACTTAGGCTAGTAGGGATTGTTGGAAGTGGGAAAGATCTATGCCAAGCATCCTTGGACATGGTAGGACGTAGAGAGAGAAGGCACTAGAAAGTGAAAGAAGCATGGAGATACGAGGTGGGAGGGAAAAAGATGCATTATTCCTTCTTGCAATAAAAACACAACTCCAGGGATGATAAATACTCTAGGTTTACTATAAAGTGACTTCGGGAGAGACTGGAAGCATATGGACCATAGCTGTCCAACATGTAGACCAGATAGTAACTTTAAAGCCTTCTTAGGAATTATCAGCTAGCACAATCTAACCTGATCATGTACCAGCCAGGCCGAGATAATAAAGGATGCCATTTCTTATCATATCTCATCTGTCAAATGTACCTAAAATATAAGACCCAGGAATTGGGGGATTAAAAGTATGTTCCCAATGTATTGTCATCTTTTATTTTGACAGTAAAACTAAAAGAAATTGCTGAGTATAGAGCTATTAAAACAATACAGCCAACAATTGGAAAGTGAAGTAGAAAATTAGGATTATAGACTGAAATATATTAACTAAATATCTTAAATATCTCACAATAGATCCATATATTAGAAGCATTTTATATTTTCAGTTTTATTTCCTCCTGGAATAATTAAAATTCATTATTTTATTACTCTGTATCTGAAGTTGCACTGCCTCATAATTTTCTCAAATCACCTTTTCTTTCAAGCTTAAAAGGAAAGGCTTGCCATTCTCAAACTCCATAATGTGGCAAACAGGTTTAAACTTGCCCTATCCATGTTTTTTTTTTACCATATAATTGAGACTCTGAGTGCAAATCTGTGTTCATGTTGAAGAAGATAATTCAAGGACCAAAAATTCTATAGTAATGCTGATGTTTCTCCAATAGGACTTGACATTGAGTTATTTTGCTTTCCAGTCTTCTCCAGTGATAATAGAAGAACAGGTAGAGTTTTACTTCTGCACTAAGACTTTGCTGGACTGAATCTCAGCCATACTTTCCTATGTTAAGGGACCATAAGCTCTTCTCATCCTTGCTTCTATGATAATTACATACAAATTTCTGGGGTTCCTAAAAAATGTAGCAATAAAATTGCTCCTTCCTTTGCTATTACTCAGCAGCAACTCGGCCATTTGTAAACCATAGAGCATCCATCTGAATTTAGCTGCTTAACAGAAGTAGAGCCATTTACCTTTCTCTCTTGTCATTTGGTTGTGTTAGATGACAAGAAATACAGTCATGGCATTGTCATGGAGGCAAATTGAAACTGCAAGACTTGAACTTAAAAAAGCCTTTAGAAATGTTTTATTAGAATGTCATTTTTCCATCTGAAACTGACTGATTTCATTTCAAACAAATGCAACTATCTGTTTGTTACAAACTGCTCCTGCCTCTCATAAAAACCCAGTTCAGTGATATTTCTCTTTAGTATTCCTCTTGGTAAAGGATAACATTAAACAATGACCTGCTTGTTATAATGAAGTCACTTATAGAGTAAGAGAAATAAATGTTTTCAAGAGAAAAACCTAGAGTGGCGAGTGCAAGAATTACAAGTCAAGAATTAATTAGAATCTGGTGTTTAGATCTGGTTCAGACACACACAAGCTGTAACTAGTTTACTTCTTCTTATATTTGGAACTCCAGCACCACTAACATTTTGGGTGGGGTACTTCTTTGTTGTGAGGGCTCTTCCGTGCATTATAAGATGTTTTAACAGTATCCCTGGCATCTACCCACTAGAAACATCTTATACTCCACCACCCTTGGGACAACCAAAGTATCTCCAGACATGACCCTGGGAGGCAAAATCATCTTTTGTTGAGAATCACTATCTGAAGGATTAGTTTCCTCATCTGTCAAGTGGAATTAATGAGAGTAGAGAGCTACTGCTGGTTTAAGGTGAAATGTTGCATTTGAAAGGTTAATCTGCTACATGCATATAAGGTATTATTTTTATAGACATATTTATTTGTTTATATCCTGAATTTTATATATCTTCATGGGTAATTTGGCAGATCTCAGCTGGCAGAACAGGATGAATGTGTTTAGGGAAAATTTATCTTCTTTATAAATGCAAAATCAAGGATTAAGAATTTACAGAAACATCAATGTTTTCAACCCAGGCATAACCAGCTAAAGAAAGGATTCAGTGCTAAATGGGGATTTAATTCAAATTACCTTTGAAGTTTGTTCTAACATTAAAGATCTTTGAAAATAAGAATAGAGTGGAATTAATACTCCTAGAGTAATTAACATCCATTCTCTGGAAGCTTATTAATTCCAGATTAACAGAATAAAATTAATGTTCCTAAGTTACTAAGTTATCTAGAGAATTTATAGCTATAGAGTTATCAGTCAAAACTTAGCTACTGAGCAGTGTTACAAGATTGGGAGTTATCTGGAGAAATTATACACCGTAGACATGGCCTCAAAAGCAAACTGCTCAGAAAGAAGCTGTGGATCTCTGGTTGTTCTTCTGGAGAGACAATTCTTCACTTTTAATAAGAGTTAGGAGGTCATTTGGCATGATTGTGAGGCAGACGGCTTGGAGAAAGAATGGCTAAGATGTTTAAATCAAGAGCAAAGCCTATTATTTGTTGTAGCTAAATGGACAAAAGATCAGGTCCATGCATAGCAGGAGTAAGTACCACATAGAAGCAGAATTAATAAATTTCCATTCTTGAGGAAACTTAGAGTATAATGACTCTAGATTTTAATACATTTTCTGGGATCTATAACTTCTAACACCCTTATGAAATCTTAGAAGATTTTCCTGGAGTGCTATTTAGTCATTCATTTTTTAAAATAATATGAAGAACAACAACAAAAAGTCTACATGAAGAAGTCCTTTGCACTCAATTCTGATTTTTTTATTATTATTATTTCTTAACACAAAAAGATGAAGACTGCTGAGTACAATTGTTAGATGCATTTGTCCCCTTGTGCAAACTACTTTTGCATAATGCCAAGCAAATGCTTATAAGAGAATCAGAAGCACAAACAAAATGAGTTAAGAGAAAAGATGAAAAAAGTTTAATATAACTATCCTGTTCCTGGTAGTGATGATTCAAGTAGAACAAAAACAGTCTGTGGCATTGGAAAATTAAGGGGAGAAAATCAGCTGGAAAAAAGGACCTGAATTTGGGGTTTACTTAACTCCCAAAGGTATAAATTAATAAAATAGAGCCAAAGATTTTGAGCAATGATGAAATATCTAGAAATTAAAATTATTTTTATCCATTGTTTTAATCCTATGTTAGCCTTCTCAAGAAATATTTACTTCACCTAATTCAGTCTCTATGCAAATGCACAGTTATACTGCATATTTAAAACAAATTTAGTTTCTTTTCATTGACAACATTGGAGAAGAAAAAAATATTATTTTAGAATACTAGAGTCCTTTAACTTTTGGCAGATATAGAAAACTTACATGAGATAGAAGATATTTTCCTCTTGAGTTTAAACCTGTAATAAAATGTTGCTGACAGACTAATTATACATGTTTTATATATTTCATGCATATGTGCTCCTCTCTAAACCAATTTAATTCCCATTAATGCTAATCTTGTTACTGCCCACTTGGAGAGGAAAGGAATACTCTTAATCAACGATTGATTTATTTGAACTATTTAAATGGGGGCTGGGCAGAAACAGATGGGAAAAGAAAACCACCATTTTAACCACATCTGCATTTCTGAGAATATTTCCCAATTATTAACGAATATTGGGTTATAATTGGTATAAATAGGAGATGGGGGAAAATAAAGTGTCAAAGTGACAGTCTTCCATCAGTGAAAAAATAAGGACATTATAAATGAGATGTTTATTGATGTATTTTTAGTACTAGCTCCAAGGTTAGTAATGAGATATTACAAGGAGCAGATTTTCTTTGCTAAAAAAGAGGTAAAGAAAAATGAGATTCATACTTGTAAGCTCTTAGAGACATGGGATTTTATTAAATAAAAAAAAGGACAGTCAAAACAACAAATAAGTTGTGCTCCTACCGCACTTTCTCCTGTTGCCAGTGTGACTGTCCATCTTGTTTTTGATATAAGAATCCAATAAATTTTGTCAGCTTCAGTCAAGCCAAGATATCCGTATCTCAGGGTACCTTAACAAGCCAAGATTGGCTCGTAAAAGATGTTGTGTCCAGGTCTGAGTGGTTTCTTTAAGCACACTGTGTAATGTGACTGAGTGCCAGCGGGCTAGCCTGGAACTTAGAAGGCAATAAGAAACACTTTCTGTCCCATCTAGATCATCTCCAAACTAGCTAACCATGTTTAAAAGTACAGATATCTCTTATTTCCCATCCTCCTAGAAAAAGTGACATGAAATAAGGGATGACTAAAAGATGAGGTTTTGTCCAGGGTTCACCATCTGGCTTTAAGATATTATTTAACCTCCCTGAGACTCAGTTTCTTGGTCTGTAAGATGGGGATCGTAATCTCTATGTACCATGTTCTTATGCCTCATAGTAGTGTAAGGATAAAAAAATATGTTTTATTTGAAAGCACTGTGATAATCCAAGTGGCGTACAAACATACAGTATTATTAATTGGGAAACAGTTTAAGAAAAAGTAGGGCACAAGAAAAAAATTAAAGGGATAAAAACAAGGATAGATATCAATTTTATCTGGGCCTTGTGTGTGTGAGAGAGAGACATTGAGAGAGAGAGAGAGAGAAGTGGGAGAAAGAGAGAGCTTGATTTATACTCAGGATTTTCTTAAGTTTTAATGGCAACTGATGCTCATACTTTATAATTATGTATACAAAATGTAAAATAAAAATTGAAAATTGAAAGTATTTAGATGAGTAAAATTTTTCTTTGTTGTTTATCCAAATATTTGGTGTCAGTTAAACGCGAAGATGGGGGTGGGGATGAGAACAATCTCAACATTCATTGAAAAAAATACTGAAACAAATATTTTCAGCACAAATATTAAACAGCCTTTTCTCTACCGATTGGTAAAAAAATATATTATGATTTTTTTTTCTTTTTAAATTATATTGTTATCCATCCCAGCCAAAGTCATGCCCCGTCATCTGGTAGAACTTGAGGTTGAAAGGCCGGTAGAACTCCCGCAGTCTCTGCACCACCTCGTGGTCGATCTCGGGGTGGGTCCTGCCCTTGGTCTTGCCTAGGCAGTGGGGTTTGCTGCTGCCCTCGGCCTTCTTCAGGCAGGGGAAGCCCTTGGTCTTGTTGAAGTAGAAGTGCTTGTCGGTGATGATCCTCTTGAGGCCCAGGAAATCCTGCACGCGGCCCAGCTCGCCGGCCGGGTCGCTGATGAGGCGCTCCCCGCTCACAAAAAGCATCTGGCGGATGGGGAAGTGGCGCAGCCAGTGCTCCAGGTGCTTGGCGTAGATGCCGATCTGGATGGCGCTCCACGATGTGTCGATGAGGCCCGTGGTTCTGTTTTTGAAGGTCAAGCTCTCGAAGGTGGGAATGTCAGGCCTCTTGGAGAGCGTCTGCGTGTAGTCCGAGATGGCTCTGGTCACCGGGTCCCGCACCACCACGATGAGCTTGGTGTCCTTGGACATGGCCGAGATGCGTGCGGGCGCCTCCCGGGTGACAAAGTAACTGGGTGTCTTCTCCATGGTGATCTGCCCTTCCAGGGTTCTGGGCATCAGGTCCCTGAGAAAAGCCAAAAAGGCATGTTAAGGCCTGAAAACTGACCGACCTACCCTGATTTCAACAGCTCATTCCTAGGAGACAGAGTGTAACATAAATTCTGGAGCCAGACTGCCTGAGCTGCAATTTCAACTCTCCTAATTACAAGATGTGTGACTGCAGAAAAGTTGCATAAACAAAGTGCACCTCTGGTTCCTTGTGTATTTAACGGAAAAATAATAATAATACTGATCTCATATGATTGTCGTGATGATTAAAAGAGTTAATATACCTCAATAGCTTAGAAAAGTGCGTGGCACAGAATAAGTGCTATATAATTTTTTATTTTTTATTATTATCAACCCACAATGCTGTAAGAAAATAACCTTGATTGAATTCTTTAGGTGAATTAAAATATTGTAATAAACACAGTTATACTGCTATCGGATAGTATTAAAACACCCTGAACCCTTTCTGTAATTCTCTTATAAACAAAACAATTATATTTAACAAAATATCGTAGTATATTACACAAAATACTTCTCTTTATAATTGTGGAATTTTCCTGTAGCAAACAAGACATTAAATAATTCATGTTTTATCTAATAATTTGAAATGCCATCATTACAATATTCTAAATATCTTGGCTCCCCTCTACATTGGCTCAATTATCATGTTAAGTTATTATCCTGTTAGAGTATATTTTCATACACACCAAGTAAATTCTGACTATTGTTCAAAATGTTCTTGATGAGTCTTGTCTATTTCTTCTTGATGAGGGTTAAAATCACTTTGTCATAATTTAAAAAAAAATCCCATTGGAATCTCAATGGAGCAGATATTGCTACCCAGTTCAAGCATGCTTTCCTACTGAGAACGGATGGATCTCAGGACCAGTCAAAAAGTATGAGCAGGGGAAAAGAAAAAGTATGAGCAAGACAGGTAAAATCTACTTACTCTTCCAACTTAAGTGTACTGTCACTAAATCCATTATATATATTGCAATATATATTATATATATGTATATATATTTCTAATATTAAGGTACTGTTTTCTAATTCCAAGTTTTGTAAGAAATAGATGTTGCTCAAATCAATATTAAAATAAATATACTTTGGGGATTTACAATGACTAAATGTGTTTTGTCTTTTGATACATCTATAAGAAGAATCAAACTTATAAATATCTTTATACAGGATTCACTTTTATTCCTGGAATAAACTTTATTTGATTATGATATATTATTCTTTTAATGTAGTCCTAGTTTGATCAATCTTTATTTTGTTTTGGATTTTTCATTTATATTCATGAATGAGGTGTTTTCTGTAGTTTTTCTTCTTATCAATAGTTGAATTATTCTACAAACAAAATGAGTCGAGAATTGTTTCATATTTTTCTGCATTCTAGAGATTTTTCACCTATATTCATTCTAGAGATTTTTCATCTATATTCATAAATGAGGTGTTTTCTGCAGTTTTTCTTCTGATCAATAGCTGAATTATTCTACAAACAAAATGAGTCGACAAATGTTTCATATTTTTCTGCATTCTAGAGAAATTTAAGTGGCAAAATAATTTTCTATTCCTTCAAAATTTGATGGGTGTCACCTACAAAGCCCTCTAACACTAGCACTTTCAGGCATGAGGGTAGCAAAGGAACTAGAAACTTTAAATCTCTTTTTAGCTTCTTCTACGGTTACTTTTTTTTGTAATACTATGCCTTGTCTCATGTCAATTTTGGCAGTTAATATTTTTCTAAAAATAACCCAGTTGAGTAGTTGAAGTTATTCTCAACTGTAATTCTGTGTTTTCTGCCTTTCTTTCTGCTTGCTAGGTTAGATTATCTTTATTAATTCGCTAATTTGCCTTTTAGCTTTGTTATTCTTCCAATTTATTTAGCTTACTTAATTTATTTCAATCTCTCTTCTCAAGAAATAAAAGCACTTGGGGCTACAATTTTTCCTTTAAGTACAGACTTGGTCAAATTCCACAAATTTTGATATGTACTGTTGTCATTTTCATAACTTCATAAATATTTAGGAATCGAATTTCACACATTATATTTCCTTTTTGGTTTAGGTATTATCTAGAATTGCTTCTTTTTCAATTTGTAATTCCAATGGTTGATTTGGTGTGTGTATGTGTGTGTGTGTATGTTTTTAGAGGGGGAAGGGTAATTTTGTTATTAATTTCTATTTTGCTTTTGTAATAAAAAAAGTACTTTGTTTTATGTGTTTGCCTTTGTTCACTTCCTATAATTTAGTTAATTCTATATTATTTGCTATTATATATTACGAAAAATTTCAAACATACACAAAAATAGAGAAATTATAACATAAATCTCATGTGCCTTACATCCAGCTTCAAAAACTAATAACTACTGACAGTTTCATTTCATTCATAACTTTTCCATTTCTAATTCCCCACCAACTCAAATAGATTTCTTTGAAGTCTATCTCAGACACTTTATCAATTGTTTCTTAAACATTCTGGTTCCCATCTGTATTGTATCCAACACGAATTCAACATTTATGGCAATCTGGTAGCACTGACACTGCCTTAGTTTAATGATTCAGGCTTTCTCTCATTTTGTTTTCTTTGATATTGCAGTAAGGTTATCTTTACTTTTTTTTAGTAAGGGGCAAATGATAATAGATGTCTGACAGCTATTGTTTTTTGTTGTTGTTTGTTTTGTTTGTTTTTTTTAAGAAATCTAAAATTCTTTTTTCAAAAGAACTTTTAATGTGCTCTATTTTCCATTTCTTAAATATACCTTAAGGTCTGGGTAAGATTAAGCAAAGACCAGAGAGTTCAGTGTTGACACAAGGGGGACACAGATTATTATCACTCTTTATGCAATACTGGTGCCACTGTGTGACATGAATTCACAGATTTTGTCACTGTGTGTCTCTCTTAAAGGACTTGAGAAATTGGCTAGGCGATCCTACTCTGGAACCTTAGGTTACATTTTTATAAGATAAGCTGGGAGATCTATCGAGAAGTTGTTGAATGTCTCAGTGAAGGACATTTGATCAAATGTATGAAAAAGTTTTGGACTGTTAAAGCAAATATCACTACAGTGATAAGAAAGAGTATTTGTTGATTTAAAAAAAAGTCAACTTTTTTGTCTCCTTTCCTAGAATCTGTGACTTTTAACTACTCAACCTTATATTTTGGCCAGTAAAATAGAGATAACATACTTCACTTGGGAGCTACTGATTGGTAATCTCAGCTTTCCTTTCCTCTGTCCCTGGGGAAATGCACAGATCCCCAGTAGCCTTTCAGTAGAGATTAAAGTTACAGATTGTGCCAGGCCAGAGGAAATACTACTAATATCTCTGAAAAAAAAGAAACCATATTTTAAATGATCTCAATAGAGTAGGAAAAGTAGCTATCCAAAAGAGGGGGAGTTTGAAGAGGAAACAGCTAAAATAGGATTTCAGAAGAAAAACACATTAATTACTGTCAAGTACAGGATGAGGAAAGCTGACTTGTTTAGCATGGGGTAGGGTGAGGAGTTGAGGTTAACTATAATCTGCCTGCAAGCTATTTTTTTAAAAAATGAGGAAGTGATAGTCTAAATAAATCCTCAATTAAGCTTACATTGTAGAAAAGGATTGCTTTGTAAAGGACTCTCAAGTATTTTTCTTAAAATAGCAATATGTCTTTTAATTTCTTTATTCATTTTCTTATTGCAATTTGAATTTTAATGTTCAAAAAAGAGTTTATCTCTCACATAAAATAAAATGCACATGTAATTTGGAATACCATATTTTAAAGTGTTTAAAAGAACCTAGAAATTGTCTTTCCTTACACGAGTGAAGCATATATTATGGCTCTACTGTGTGTAATGGCTTGGGCCTGGGATGAGCAATGAAAGGACCCTACCAGTATTATAAGAGCTTTGCAGAAATACCAGACAGGCTATAGGAACAGAAAGATGTGTGTAATGAGAAGACATATGATATTTGCCTGAAGACAGAAAAAGTTGGAGTAAGGAGTGAGAAATTCAATTGAACAATGGGAGGGATAGATCCTAGAAGGCCTTAATTTCCAGGCTAACATTGTAGGCTATTCTAAAATTTCACCTCTAAATAGAGAAGAGGATTTGAAGACATTTATAATAAGTATGGAAATGGAGAAATGAGTAGAAACCAGGATCATGAGAAAAACTTAGAAAAGCTTATTTGTTTTCCCTTGAAAAAGACAAGGATAAGAAGGGATTTCACAAGCAAATTGAAGATTTTTACAAGATGAGTTGCATATATTTGCTCTTTGTCCCTAAAAAAAACACAATGAGAATTCACAACGACCAAAAAGTAGAAGCAATCCAAGTATCCATATGTGTATGAATAGACAAACAAAATGTGATATATACATACAGTGGATTACTATTTGGACTTATAAAGGGAGGGAATTCTGACACATGCTACAACATGGATGTACCTTGAAGACTTTATGCAAGTGAAATAAACCAGTCACAGAAGGACAGTTACTAATTCCAGACTATGAGGTACCTGGAGGAGTCAAATTTATACAGAAAGTAGGATGGTTGCTGCCAGGGGCTGGGAGGAAGGAAGATAAGAACCTGTTTACTGAATATAGAGTTTTAGTTTTGTGAAATGAAAAGAGTTTTGATGATTGATTACTTAACAATGTAAATGTACTTAACATTACTGAACACTTAAAAATGGTTAAGATAGTAAATTTTATGTTATGCCTACTTTACCACAATTTATTTAAAAAAGAACTCAAGAAGACAAAAGTTTCAATTGCATCAATAGAATTTAGTTAGACAAAGGAGTCTTTTTGGCTATGCAGGTAATTAAACATTAGTACAAGGTACTGAAGAAAGCTGCAGTTTTTCTTTCCTCTTGCTAGACAAAGGGGAATATAATAATTTATGAAGTTTTGGTGGAGCTATGTAAAATTAGAAGATGAGGCTTGTGTCTTGTGTTTGCCTATTGCCAGTTGAGTGACCATGAACTGATCATTTAACCTCTCAAATCTCAGTTCACTCATCTC